TCCAAAAACTTCTTTTATTTTATTTCTAACTTTTTCTCCCAAAAGGGTCAGGAGCCCTGCTAGGAATTTTTCTTTCCAAAATGGTTGACTTTAATCTTCTCGAAGCATCACCCTGGTTAGGAAAGTATTTTTGCAGTTTTGAAAATCAGAAAGTTTTTTGCATCTGAGATTCAAGAGAAGTTCAGCATTTTTATCTTTTGAGTGAGATGGATCACCAACGAAGTGTAAACTTATCGTGTGGTCGTGTGGATTAGTGTTTTGCATCTGAGTTTTATCACAAGTGTCTTTAACTATTTGAGGTGAGGAGGTAGAAGAAAGTTCTTGCTCTATTTTACTGAGGTGGTCGTGTAAGGCTTTTGTAAATTCACTTTAACTTTCTCGAAAAAGTTTTTGACTAGCCTCAGAGATTTTGAATGGTTTAAAAATCGGGGTTTTTAATTTTTTGAATAATTTCGTTATCAATTTTTAATTCATGAAGCTTTAATATATAAAGACGATATGGTGGAAATTCAAATAGAAATCTATTTGCAGTCAAAAGATGAAAATTTGTTGTCACAATTAATGAAGCATTACTTAATAATATTCAACAATTAATCGGAGTGACAATCAATGATTAAGTACAAGTCTAATTAATTGTTATACATTACAAATTAATTAAAGAATAGAAAAATGAGAATAAACACAATATATATAAACAAAATTGTAAATAAATATTAAAAACATAACATGCAAAATTAATCAATAGGCATAACACAATAATAGTCTTCTTGATGTTCCGTTTTTTTCGACTTATCAGGCATATCAATCAACTTTGTTACCAAACACGTAACTTTTGATATAATACACGAATTATGTAACAATAATAAAAAGTAAGGTTGAAGTTACTTTTTGTCTGTGTTGACTGAAGTTAATATATAAGACAATTTTAGCTATTTTTCAAATAAGTTTTTCTCTACTTTACAAATAACAAATATTTTAATATTTTTTTCATAAATCAACAGAACAACCAATTCATCTAATTTAGCCAGAACTTCATAAATTTTAGCAGAATCAGTCGATTCAGCCAATTTCAGTATTATCAAACGGATTCTAAAGTTAAAGAATGGAATGTTCTAATTTTTAAAATATAAAAATTGAGCACTACATTATATTCAAGCGCGATAAATCGGCATATAAACATTGCATAAAATACAACAATAATAATTGATACTCCCCCATAAAACTTGACCATAGTTGACTTTCATGTTAAATACTCCCTCCGTATTTTAATATTCCTTACGTTAGCTTTGAGCACAAGATTTGAGGGAGAATAGTAGGTGTAAAGAATAGTATAGACAAGGTAGGGGAAAAGGTGAAAACGTAGGAAATAGAGGATAAAAAGTATAAAAAAAAAGATAATTGAGTATTTTTAAAGGAAAAACTTACTAAAAGGGAATGTGTATAGAACTTTTAAATACATCTAAAAACGAAGGGAGTACAAATTATTAAATTAAAAATTTTGTGAGTGATGTTTATGTAATGAAAAAGACAATTTAGGAGTGGTGGAATATTTAATAAATTTGTACTGCATATGAATTAGTGTATCTTTAACAACAATTTTACATGTACTCTAATATAGTTGAATATCAGGTTTTAATTTTTACAAGTATGTATATATATGTTCATGAAACAAATGAATTTAAAAAAGTAAAATAATATCATCCGTTATCCGGTGACGATTGGGTAAAAAAAATGAGTCCAGAACACATATTTATAATACCCCATTTGTTCTGGTAATACAATATTTGAATGATTGATTCAAATGTTATATTTCCAGATGAACAAATGGGGTATTAGAAAGACATATCCATCTCATCTTATGAGTGAGGAAGAATTATAAGAATTCAAACCACACAACGGAACAAACGAAGATCTTTGAAGCGGAATTATAACAAAGTCCAATACTTTATACGCTTTCGGTGTGGGAAGAATTTAGATGCTTCAATGCAGACCGAAACCATACCCAGCAGAAATATTACCCAGCCTGCCACACCTAATATATAGAATGTCGACAAAGGAGGCTTATCAATTGTCACGGGTTGGTATTTGAACTAAGACGTAGGAGCAAGCTAGCTTCTCCGCAGGTTTCTTCGATTCTCCCTATTGGTCGGCGATGAAGGAAGATGAGGTAGCAAGATACTGCGATTTTTAGGCATCCTATGCAGGATTAATATTTGATATGTTCCGTCCCAATTTGTAAGACATTTTACGGTTTGCGATGTTTGATCGACGATAAAGCAAATTGATCTCTAGCAACACTCAAATTAGTTTTAGAAAATAAAATTTACATATATGCAGAAACTATATTCAAACCGCTACAAAGTCTGCAAAAAATAATTCAAATTTCATAAATTTTTGATATATAAAATAAAAGATTAAGAGTGATTTCGGGTGACCAAGTGAATAGTAAATGTATCTTACAAATTGGGACCTCTTCCCGTGCAAAGTGCGAAGATATGCACTTTTTCATGTTTCGCTTGCACTTTTTCGTGTTTCTGTTGCACTTTTTCGCAGTGGCAAAAAAGTGTGGTTTATTTATGAAATTGCCACCGCGATTTTGTTCAAATTTATCCACCCTACCTTCTCTACCCCCTTCAAAATTAAATTGGTGTCATGGATAGAGCCTAAAGAAAATCTCAAAGTGAATATGGATGCCTCTTTCATACATGGTATTTCAAGGGGTGGTGCTGTGTCAATATCAGCTTCCCCATTCGGGCAAAAAATCCGTTACAGGCATAAATCCAAGCTATCATGTTCATCATCAATTGGCTGTCCCAAAATGGACACTCAACATTCATCACTGAGTCTGACTCCCTTTTAGCCATATCCCAAATCAAACACGGCTCAGTGGATGCTGCCAATCGATCGGCAATACAAGAACTCAGACTTTTGGCACTCAATCTCAACAGTACGTTCTCGCACGTTCACAGACAAGGAATTGCCAGAGACCTTCTTGCCTCTTGGACAAACACGGACAGTCCATTCAATTTATTCATCAATAAATTGGATCTTCCTTCTGAAATTAGACATTCTCTGACCGCAGACGAGATGGATCTTCCCTCTTTCCGTTTTTTATTGTTTACCATCTTTGGTTTTATCACTTGGGCTTGTTGTATTTTAATACTCCCTCCGTCCCATTGGACTTTGCCAATTTTCCCTTTTTACTTGTCCCAAAAAACTTTGCCACTTTCCTATTAAAGCGACTAATTTGTGGTTCTGCACATTTATCTCTCCTCTGCACAAATTTCAACCACACAATTTTTACTATTCTTATTTCTCACCTAATTTGCACTTGGCAAAGTCTACCGGGACACATGGATGGACCCGGGCCGGTTCGGGCCCGGTTCGGGCCTAGGCCCGGCCGGGCCTCGGGTCTGTTTTGTTGGGCCCGAGCCCGAACCGGTGGCCACCGGTTCCGGGTCCGGTTCCGAGCCGGACCGGGCCGGGCCGGTCGGGCCACCGGGTTTAATTTTTTTTTTTTTTCCCCTTTCTTCCCCCACCCCCCCCACCCCCCCACCCCCCCAAACCCCCCCAAACCGGCCTAAACAGATAGCCCAAGCCCAACAACCCAAAACAAATGAAAAAAATTAAAAAAAAAATAGATTTGGCCCGGACCCGGGCCCGAACCGGCCGGGCCGGGCCGTCAAAACCATGAACCGAGCCCGGAACCGCCCCACCCCCGGGCCTCCGGCCCGAACCGGACCCGGACCCGGATAACCGGGCCGGGCCGGGCCCGCACAGTAGCGGGTCGGGCCGGTCCCGGGCCGGGCGGCCCGAACCGAGACCATGCCTACCGGGACAGAGGTAGTATTAAAATATCCCAAACTTTAAAGGGTGTGAGGTAAACACCCCAAACTTCGATATGTAATTTAAATACCTCAAACTTTGTATAAAAAGTTATTTAAGCACCAGGATTATGTATTATTTCTTTCAAAAATATAAATTTATGGTGTTAATTGCATAATTTAAAATATCGAATTAAAGGCTTCGTAACTATTTGTGTTGGGGGTAACATTATTTATCTAATAATGAAAGTCAAGAATGCTAATTATTTCTTTATGAATATTATAATATATTAAATTATGCAATTAACACCATAAATTTACATTCTTGAAAGAAATATTATTTGACTATGGTGCTAAAATAATTTTCTGCATAAAGTTTGGGGTATTTAAATTACATATGCAAGTTTGAGATGCTTACCTCACACTCATTCAAAGTAGGGGTGGGATCGGGATGATCCCGATCCTATCCCAATCCCGATTCAAAATACAAGAGGTTCCTGTATCCCGTTCCGATTAAGTCGGGATCCCGATATTAAAGTCCTACTCTAACTAACTAAAACTCTAAAGTTAAATATAAAGATAACATCAAGCTGGTGTCCTCAAGTTTCTCGCTACCTACTATATTTCCTCCTACAATAAGGAATCTCTAAAAATGCATCCCTAACCGTTTTTTAACCCAAAAGGTAAACCAATGCATCCCTAATCGTTTTCACCACCAAAATGTATCTCTTCTTTTTTAGGGGGGAGGGATGTTCTAACTTCTTTAAATACCTCAAACTTTATATAAAAAATAATTTTAACACCATGGTCATGTGACATTTCTTTCAAAAATGTAAATTTATGATGTGAATTGCATAATTTAAAATCGCAAATTGGGAACATTGCAATTATATAGGTGGAGGGGGGGGGGGGGGTAATACTATTTATTTTACAATGAAACTTTAGAATGTTAATTGTATGTTCATGAAGGCTAAACTATTTTAAATTATGAAATTAACTCCGAAAACTGATTTTTTTAAAAAAAATAATACATGATCATGGTGCTAAAATAACGTTTTATATAAACTTTGGGGTATTTAAATTACATATGCAAGTTTAGGGTGCTTCACGCTCTTTCAAAGTTTGGGGTATTTTAGTTATTTTTCCCTAATTAAGAAATATCAATGCATACCAAATTGGACATCAAATATGAAACCATCCTTCTTTCTCTATGCATGGTAATGAACCGAACCAAACCGAACCAAACCAAACCAAACCGAACATATCCAAAAGTCATGAGAGAAAGGATTAGCAATCTAACATTGAAATGCTTTTAAAAGTTCAGAGGCACATCAAACAATCCAAAACTAATCCAGCTGTGGACTTGCAGTCCATCCTGGTCCAAACTGTCAGTAAGGTTGAGATAAGTATTTCTTATGTGTACACCTGCAAAAGTTATACACATTCAAAAACATGGATTTGTTCAAGCATTGCCATCCCACTCTTCATAAAACTCTCTAAGAAAATCTTCCATAACTTTGTGCCTTCTTTCAGCCCTCCTCTTCCCAGCCTGTCAATTAAAATGCATCAAACAATTGTAAACAACGTTAAGAGTTCAGAACAATTTTACAGAGATGTTCCAGAAGCAGTGATAGGGATCTACCTATATTAGGAATTGGGCCTAATAGACTGTTAGGAATTGGGCCTATTAGAGCATGAATATTGATAAGTGTATATTAGCTTAGTATAAATAAGAGAAGCTAGGAGAAGTAGAGTAGGTTGTTTTTAGACTTGGACTTTGGGACTTGGGAAGATCGAGAGCTTTCTCTTTCTTTGGGGGGCTTCGGCTCAATTGGGGGCTTCGGCCAGAATTTCTCTCTTCTATTTCTGTAATTGTTCTTCTTCATCAATAAAGGTTCATCTGTTTCTTGTTGATCTTGCTGTAATTGTTCTGGAACATATGGAGGTATCTATCATTGGTATCAGAGCTGTTACTTCCTGGAGACAAAGAATCATGGAGGAGGATTTCTACATGACACCGCAAATGGAAAAGAGTTTTGATAATATGGACCGAATCATGAGGAAGACACAAGCGAGTATGGTCGCGTCACAAGAAAAGATGAAGACGATGATGGTTGCTATGCAAGAGGCGATGCAAGCTAGCGTCGCAGAATTGCAGAACCGACTTCAAAGTCGTTCGCGACATACAACGCACCATTCGCACCGATCTTCGCATCGCTCATCCCACCCTAGCTCTTCGCATCGCTCCTCTTCTCGCTCGTCACAGAAGGAGTCGCAGACTAAATCGCGAAATTCTTCTCACCGTTCGCAGTCGCGAACAGAGTCTTCATCATCATCGCACACATCGCATCACAATTCTTATCATCGACGTACACAACATTTGACTAACTCAGAGGCATCGGAAGATCGATCGAGGAATCGATCGCATCATTCGAAGAATATAGATAGTTCGCAAGATTCAGATAATCATCATCGACATAAACGACTGTCGGCGACCTCAGAGGAGTTGGAAGAGCAGAGGCGTCGCAGAAGAACTGAAGAACGATCGAGGAAGACTAGGTCTCTTCCGCTAACTGACAAACAAGGTTCGTCGCATCGCTCTTCTCATCGCTCTTCGCATCATCATTCGCAGGATTCATCACCTGCTATCAGTTCGCATCCAAGAAAGACACGATTAAAAGAAGAATCTTCATCTTCTTCATCAATCAATTCTCACTGTTCGCCTTCAGCGTTTCAGGCCGTTTGTCTGAGTGCGAAAACAACTTCTGACGGTCCTCTGGTTTCGACTCGAGTAGAAAACCCTAGTTCACAATCACTATCTGAGTCTCCAGAGTCACAACAGATGTTGGTTAATCAGCAGCAAACATCCACGGAAGATACACACACCTATGGCGAAGAGGAAAGCAAAGAGAAATCTTCAGATAATCTTGGACTTGAAGAGGGAGCAATTACTCGTTTCCTCATTGGTAACAACACCTCCAGGTACAAACTCGTTAATTCAGAATTGGAAATCAATATGCTACTGTCCATTGAGCGTAGCCCTGCAATTGATGACCACTTTCAAGTCAAGAAGTACCAAGTTGGGAAGTCAAGTCCTATATCTCAAAGGAAGGAGGTAATTCTTGTAACTGATGCGATGAGAGGGATAAAATGGTTGATCCATTTGGGGAAATATGAAGGTATTATCCTTTTCCTTACAATTCTGGTCAGAGGATTGCGGAGGGGAATGGAGGGTTATTCTTTTCCTGTCATAGAAGTTTTTTTTTGGAAAAATCGCAAAGGATGCTGCTACATCAATTTAGATTCTATGCTTCATGATTCCTCCAGCCTGAAGAATAGCAGCAAAGATTGGAGTTCTTTTAAAAAAACGAACTTCCCTCATCTGACAAGAAAGGATTGAACCAAAGATGTAGGGCTGATGTACTTGTTGATGCAGGAGCTGACTTTGTATTCTCAGCCTCAAAGTGTTGCTTGGTTTATGTGTTGCTTCATAGTAGCAAAGATTGTACCATTTTGAAAATGGACTCTCCTTTTGAAAAATGTGCAGTGGCAGAGAGATTTTGGTGGGGTATTTCTATGGAAGTTGTGTGGTGGCATGATGTTGGGTGTACTCAAAGTGCAGCAGTGGATGACTTGGGTTTACTGAAAAACATGATAGGATCACAGAAATTTGATGTCAAGCCTAACTCAAAGGGAGAAAAGTCAAATGGAGTTGAGCAGGTTAAAAGGGATGAGAATCCTGATGTTCAGGACATGAATATAAATTCTGCTGCTGTTGTAAGGGATAATATACCTCAGGAAAGAATGAAAATATTTGTGGCTATTGTAGGCCTGAAGCCTAAGGAAGAGAAAGATACTTCACCAGAAACATTCTATGCTGCAGAAACGTCTCAGAGTTGTGAAGATCTAATAATGAAGCTCTTTGCTCGGAAACCAGTGAGATATTGGGAAGGTAGAAGCGCAAGGAAGAAGGAGCAGAAGATATGAGCTGTCTCCTACCGCCCACCTTGAGGACAAGGTGGATGTTTAGGGAGGGAGTATTGATAGGGATCTACCTATATTAGGAATTGGGCCTAATAGACTGTTAGGAATTGGGCCTATTAGAGCATGAATATTGAATTATTGATAAGTGTATATTAGCTTAGTATAAATAAGAGAAGCTGGGAGAAGTAGAGTAGGTTGTTTTTAGACTTGGACTTTGGGACTTGGGAAGATCGAGAGCTTTCTCTTTCTTTGGGGGGCCTCGGCTCAATTGGGGGCTTCGGCCAGAATTTCTCTCTTCTATTTCTGTAATTGTTCTTCTTCATCAATAAAGGTTCATCTGTTTCTTGTTGATCTTGCTGTAATTGTTCTGGAATATTTGGAGGTATCTATCAAGCAGTCAGAAAAACCTGAGTTTTCATCAAGTCCTTCAACTTGAGAAGCTTCTCATGAAAATGGTTAATAGTTGTCTGCTCATCTTTGTTCATGTAGTTTTCCTTGGAAAGATCTGACCTGGGAAGAATTTTAGGATCATGAAGAACGCTATGCCTGCTTCCACCAAATGTAAAACATCTTGCAATTCCTGGAAGTTGATACTTGGTTAAAAAACAAAAATAAAACTACCATAGTAATCACATTTTGAAAGTTTTAGGAAAATGACAATGGCTGATAATGCAACAAAAGCCTTACCCTCAAACAGAAGCATCAACATGTATCTATAGCATCAACAGAGACTATAATGTGTAAACGACATGTTAAGAAGGATACACAATTCCTATAAGTGTTTCTTCATTAAAAGTCCAATTTTAAGCTTTCAGTTTATTGGGATACTAACACTTGTTCTGTATAAGCTTGGCGTGATATGTGTTCATCATGAGTAAAGCCACGCAACAGGTATATATTGCAACTGAAAGTGACTTAGTTACCTATGGCACCAATTGCATCAAGTTGATCTGCGTCTTGCACAACCTGAAATTCCAGTGAAGAAATACCATTTGTTTGACCTTCAAGTTCTTCTTTGAACCCTGAGAATAAATGTCTTTAAGAAATTTAATAATGCAAGAGTCAAGTCAAATCTTGTTTCATTAGAACTTAGTGTAGTACTTCAAAAAAACTAATCTTTATTTACTACTCCCTCCGTCCCGCTAACATTGTCCCGTATTACCATTTTGGGATGTCCCACTATTTTTGTCCCATACCCTTTTAGGAAATAAAAATGTAAAGATAATCACAAAAATACCCCTGTTTTAAATTTAAAATCACTCCTTTATCCTTACCTTTTCTGCTAAACTGACTGCATACTTCGTATTGTACGCGTACATCCCAGCTGGTTGGGATACGCATACCACTCTCTCCCCCATCTTTGGATCTGTGATACCTCCCCAAACCCACCATATTCACAGCTTGTTCTTAAGTAAATATGAGTTCTGATTCCACAAAAACCAATTTGGAAGGGCTAATCGTTTGATAAGAAACTGTCCAGGTAAACAGTAAAATCACAGAATCTATCAAGAACAACTAAGAGTTTTTATTGATGAGGAAGAATCGATTACAGAAAGAGAGTAAGAAATCAATGGCGAAAGCCCCCAATATGAGCCGAAGCCCCCAAGAAAGAGAGTAACTCTCGATCTCCCAAGTCCCAGTCTGAAAAATGTCTAAACAGCCTACCTAACCCTTCCCTGCCTTCTGCTATTTATACTAAACTAATACACTTTTATTCTTATTAATATGCTAATAGGCCCAGTCCATTATTCTTATTATATATTAGGCCCGGACCCTAACAATACTCCGCCCCTTAAACATCCACCTTGCCCTCAAGGTGGATGATATGACACAGCCACTAACTTATTCTCTTCTTTCATCCTAGCACCCCTTCCTCTCCAGTACTGATTGGTCTGTTGGGCCTTTAGCTTTACTACTTCCATCTTTCCCTCTAAGTATTTCACAGCATAGTTCCACATAGGCCAGACAATTTGATCCAGAACTGTGATTTCTGCAGGTTTTTGGAAGACCCAATTGCAGCTTGCTGTAACATTGGGGACAGCTACTTCGTGCCTTTGAACACTTCTTCCTTCAACGTCCTGCTCTCTTGATGAGTCATCTCTTTGTAGAATCACCTCCTGCCCTTGTACTTTCCATTTGAAGGTCTGACTTTGGAAGTTAATCTCCATGTCTCCCAAACTTGTTAACCAGTCCATTCCCAAGACTAAATCCATGCTCCCCAGCTCCAATAAGTAATAAGTTTGGTGAATACCAATTCCTTGCACATTCAGATCCACACCTGCACACCTGCCACAGATTGGAATACATTCGCCATTCCCTAACTGCACCCTATTCCCTGTGAAATGAGTATAAGGAATCCTCCACTTTTCCGCCAAGTTTAGTGACAGAAAATTGTGTGTAGCACCTCCATCAATGAGTACATTTACTGTGCTTTCACCTTCATGCCATCTCAGTTTACCTCTCACCTTAAATGTTTTCACAGGGGTTATTTCTTTCTCATCACTTACAGAGAATTGCATGGTCTTCAATTCTAGAGGTGTGATCTTATCCCTGCCTGATTCCAGTGCTTCAAATTCAGACTCAGCTTCACCCTCCGATCGTTCCACTAAAGTTATTGTATAATTCTTCATCTTGCACACATGTCCCCTTCCCCAATTCTCTCCGCATTTGAAACATAGCCCCTTTTTACTTCTTTCAAGCAATTCTTCTTGTGATAATTGGGGTTTTGTATTCCGCTGAACTGAATTTGAAGATTCCTGCTTCTTCATGTTATCAACTAAATAGTTGCCAGATGGATTCTTGGTTGTGTAGCTAGAACTCCCTCTACAACCATCTTCCCATTTCTGATTTGCAGTCTGCACCTTCTTTCTTTCCTCCTCTTTATCTTTTACAAACAAAGTTTCCAAAATTTTGTTCTCAATCGCGGAGGCAGTATCCATAACTTCTGCCAATGTTCTAGTATGATGTAACTTCAATTCTGCTTTTATATCTCTTCTCAATCCCTTAAGAAAGGCTGCTTTTAAGACTTCTTCTGTTAAATGGCCTTGTGAAGCGATAGCCTTTTCGAATCGATCTCGGTACTCTTGAATTGTAGCTTTCTGTTTCAGACTGAAAAGAGGCCCAAGAGGATCGTTTACCATATCAGGCTGAAATCTTCTAGTCAACGCCCTAGTGAAAGACTCCCAGTTCTGATGTGCAGCTTGTCTCTCCCACCATTGAAACCAACTGAGAGCTTGATCCTCCATAGCTAGAACTGCCACATCAATTTTCTCCTCCTCCTCAGTTCTATTTAACCTGAAATAGCGGTTCATTCTCATCAACCAACCACCAGCGTCAGCTCCATTGAAAAGTGGTAATTCAATTTTCCTTTCAGTCCGGCGGTGGTGATCGTGTCTCCTGTGTCGATGATGGTGGTTTCGCGGTGGTGAATAGTCCGAACTGTTTTCCGATCCTTCTGAACTGGTTGCCCGTCGCGATTGGTGATGGTGATGCGACGATTGATGGTGAAACGGTTGATGATGATGCGACGTGCGATGCGAGGCAGATGATCGATGCGATGCAGATGATCGGTGAGAGAGGCTTCGCGATCGACTGGCGAGGTTCTTCTGAAATTCCGCCAAGTTCGCTTGCATCGTCGCTTGCATCGATGTCTGAATCGAAGCCAATTTCTCCGCCAATTGGTCCGCCATATTACTCTGCAATTCACGCATCCTCCGATCCAATTGATCGTGTAATTCTCTTTGATTTCTCCCAATATCCACCATGCTTCGTTCCACCTCGTTCATTCTGGCTTCCATTTTGGAACGCGTATATCTCATTCAGCGATCGAACACTTCTCTGATACCAATTGATAAGAAACTGTCCAGGTAAACAGTAAAATCACAGAATCTATCAAGAACAACTAAGAGTTTTTATTGATGAGGAAGAATCGATTACAGAAAGAGAGTAAGAAATCAATGGCGAAAGCCCCCAATATGAGCCGAAGCCCCCAAGAAAGAGAGTAACTCTCGATCTCCCAAGTCCCAGTCTGAAAAATGTCTAAACAGCCTACCTAACCCTTCCCTGCCTTCTGCTATTTATACTAAACTAATACACTTTTATTCTTATTAATATGCTAATAGGCCCAGTCCATTATTCTTATTATATATTAGGCCCGGACCCTAACATCGTTGAAGATAGTGAAGAGAGGGCCAATTCGAAGGGCTAATCGTTGAAGATAGTGAAGAGAGGGCTGATTTCATTCCTGAGACGGAAGACGCTGAAGTCAATTCGTATGGCGATTCTTCATCACTTGTTCCTTCCCGAGTTGAAGCTCCCAAGGCAGAAAAAGTGTTCGTTCCTCCTATCTAGAATCCTGAAACGCTGAAGATGGAGCCTCCCTTATTGAGCCCTGAAGTGCACAAGCGGGTGGATGATTTTATAGTTAGGTACGGAGTATATTAGTATATATTACCTCGATGGGAGAAGTATTGCCCAAAATCTGGCCCAAAGTGAAGGCAAAATTCTTTAATCTCCTCTTCATATATTCAGATTTTCTTGAGTTTTTTTTCAATATTTTAAGAGTTCATCCTGACTGCTTCTGAAAAGTAAATTTTGGATTTTCTGTGCTTTCTTTTTCAACTTTCTTTTTCTTAATCCATATTTCATCTATGAATTTTGGTTTGGATAGATTCTTAATTAATCCTGATTGCATCTGTATTCTTTATCAGTTTGTCCGTATTAAAGTACTAATAATGCTGTCAAGATGGTGGGACATGGGTTTCGTGTATCTTGCACTGCTTTTGTATAAAGTAACAGCAGTGAACAGTGCATATATGAGACCCAATTCGATGCTTTATGCATTTCACTTGGTATTCGAGCCACTCCCTTCCGTCCCAAACTTAGGGGGACGGAGGGAGTAATACCTAACTTAAATATTACTGTGTACAATAATTAAGTTGAAAAAATAACTTTAGTCAAGCCTTGTTACTTGTACCAGAGAATCAACAGCTAAATAAAAAATATCAACAAATGCAACACATAATTTAATAAAGGGAAAACTGTCAAATAGGCCTCATACTATATCAAAAAAGTCAATAAAACCCTCAAACTAAAAAAACATCCAATTAGACCCACGAACTTTAGAAAAACAGTCAAATATGTATTTTAACCTGTTAACCATCGGTTAGCCGGTTAGTATGCCTATCTGGGCAGCCACGTGTCTGATTTCACTTTTTTTTCGTTTTCTTTTATTTTTTCTTTTCAGTTCTGGTATTATTTCTTTCTTCCACCGGCCACCACCGCACCTTCTCCCTCTTCTTTCTTCTTCGACCAAAGCTGTTCACCCCTCCTTTCTTAGTCGAATTTTTCCCCTCACCGAGACTAATCTTCTTCAACAAGCTCAGAAACGAAATTTTGATGATAGATTTGAGTTTTAATCAACTCGTTTTCGGCAACCACTATCTTCTTCTTTAGTCTTCGAATCAATCTCTTTTTCTCTTGGTTTTTATACTCCTGCATCAAGGATTGGGACCGTCCGGTTAGGAGATCACCCATATTCTCTTCATCTCCTCCAGTGAGCTGGCCTTGAGGAGAGAAGTCAACCCCGCATGCTCTGTAACATAGGACAGAAAAGGGAGAAGCCGGAATGCAGCAGAAGCCGGTCCGGAGGGTATTAATGGAATTCTGAAATGCAGACCTGGCCCGGAGAGCATTAATGGAGTGCCAACATGAGCTAAGGAGCACGAAGAGCGAAGAAGAAGAATGGGGATTGGCTTAGCCGCTTAGGCATTTGGACCTGGATTCACTTTTGAAGGGATTCTTTTCAGGAGCCTACTGTGATCTTTAGACTAACTAAGGCCATTCATAGACTTAGAAAGAAAATGATGAAGCCAAAGGTGAAAGAAGAAAGGAAAATGGGGGTGACATTCGAGAGAAGGGGGGAGGAAAGAATCTGATGAGGAAAAGAGGGGTTGGAGCTGCCAGAGCCTTGGGGAAGAAAAGGGTGAGGTGGGACCGGTGGAAGAAAGAAAGAAGTAGCGGAATAGGCAAAGTAAAAATAAAGGAAAAAGAAAACAAATCAGCCTTGTGGCTAGCCACGGGCCCTCGTAGGCATATCATGGGTTTAATTAAGTCTTTTTTTAGTTGGAGGGCTTAATTGACTTTTTTGACATACTACGAGGGCCTATATGACAGTTTTCCTTAAAATAAATAACAGCCTAAGAAAATTAGGGTGTAATATATTTATGAGAGTAAAACATGATCAGTGTTTACTACAGATTACAATCTGCAACAAACTTATTTAAGAAAAAGTGAGGCATCAAACCACAGCAGAATATGTAACCCAACATTTGAAGCATCCGCTTCTTTGCTGACTATGGATAAACAGCAGTCTTTTCTCATTAATAAAACTAAGAATCAGGGACAATATGGGTCAACAAAGTCCACCCTTTTCCTAAGTTAACCGTTGCTTTAGAAAGCAAGAGGCAATACCACATATCAAAGCTCCCCCCATGCATGATCATTGAGAATGTGAATGCTTCACAACACAGATTTCTAGCTTCATTTGAATACCAAATTAGAGATAAAATACCATGCAAATATGCTGCCTAAGACGAATTCCATGATAGATATCTGGAGATCGAGAGTAAATTACCCTAGCCATATACAACATCTTACCCATTCCTTTTATGATCTTCAAAACATCTATCCTCATGCTATCCTCTATCCCTTCATGGTCAAGGAATTCCTCTACGATTTTTGCCTCAGATGGGTCCCTGGATACAAGACACTACATATCATAATTGGGGGGATAGTGCCACGAATATAAGGATTGAGAAGAGTTACAACAACATCCAAGCCTTAATCCCAAAAGATTTTGGGGTCGCCTAACATGAATCGATCCATGATATCGATCCCAAAAAGAGAAGACAGATAAGAAGAAGAAAAGGATAAAAGAGATTTGGATTTAAAAAACTAAAAAATAAGGCAACAGCCTGGGGTCTGGATAGATATAAATGACATCTTTTATCTTTTATGCTCTGTAAATAAAAGGAAAAATGGAAACTAATAATCCAACCTTTTAGCGGTCTTCTTACAATAGTCCCACCTTTTCATTATTCATGAATAATCCAACTTTTGCACCCCATCTTCATTCACTGGTCCCTGACCGATTTATGACCTGTTATTCCAAGTTATTTTCTTATCTTTGCGAAACATTATGTGATCATAAGGCGGGAATTATGGTATAATGTTTTACAAAGATAAGAAAATAACTTGGAATAACAGGTCATAAATCGGTCAAAGACCAGTGAATGAAGATGGGGTGCAAAGGTTGGATTATTCATGAATAATGAAAAGGTGGGACTATTGTAAGAAGACCGCTAAAAAGTTGGATTATTAGTTTCCATTTTCCCTAAATAAAATGCAGAATTAATTCCTGATTTCCGACATTCTAATCTATATGTCCAACTAATCAATCACAGACTGAACTCTATATACAATCAATGCATGTCATAAATAAATATATGTGCCTTACTTTGAAATATACTATGTATATACTTGTAGAGATATGTACCCAACAGTGGAGGAATGGAAATCCAAACCTCACGTATTTGTAGTCACCTGAATATGCGCACACAGCAGGAAATCCATTAGTTAAAGTAAAAAGCATCAGCACTAGTAATAGAACATTTAAATGTAAATCATGTACAACAAGTTAAGATAATTTCCTTCTATACCAAGCATAAAATGATGAAACTGCCTGTGTATAGCAGCAAATCTTGTATGCATTGCATCATATCAAAAGATAAATCTATTTCATTATTTGCCATTCCAAATGCATAAAACAAATCTATGAAGTACCCGATACTTCTTTTATAGATGTAAAGAAAAAAGATACAAGTTAACTGGTCTTGGAAGTTGGAAGCTCAAGACAAAATGTACTTCATTAAGTTTGGTAGGAGTACACCAACCAAACATGTACTAGGTTTGACCAAGGTTGGGTACCGCCATATAAAGATGATTTATGTATGCAGATTATACTCACAAGTGCGCTGCACACATTTCATTATCGCTATATGTGCATACACATATAGACATATGCTTGTGTGGAGTTTACTTAGCTAGTAGACGAATTAATATGAGTTATGCCCCTCATAACCCTCATGTATAAAACATTGAACTCACATCGCCAAATTATATTCTACCAAAAAGGAATGTGATGGAATTTGACAAAATAGAAAAAAGAAACAATAGCAACAGTCTAGATGAAAACACTGTCAACTGAAAAAAATCCCTTCTATACACTGCCTTTGAAAATAGAAAGATTAAAGCAAAAAATAAATGTGAATGTGATAGCTCTCAAATGAGTAAGTATGTTTACAAGAGAAAGAATAAGTCCCCATACCTATATCATGCAGAAGAGCAGCTAGTTCCACCTGTCATAAAGCAACACATGTTCTTAAATCTCAACCAGTGTATCAGCTTCAAGAATTAAATGACTGAAACTAATTAGTGTGCTAGCAGAATGCTCAGTGTAGATGAATAATGATGAACTATATTCTGTCTGATCCTAGTAAAAATATTTACTTTATAAGCATTGCACATCCCCTCATCACTTAACACAATGTAATTGACATGCAATTTCAATATAAAATTGGCTTTAGTAGTTTCAATTCTTAAAAACTTTAATACCTAGCAAATGATACCAAAACCATATCACCAGTCACAATTAGAAAAGTTACAAAACCCTTAGCACCAGTTTCAAACCTGTACGCTTTGTAGCTCATTAAGTTTAAAAATTAAACAAAACAAACATTATATATCAAACGGAATTCTTTTTATTCATGATTTGAAATATAGGTTAGCTAGTAAGTAGAAATCAAGAGTTAGGAGAACGTAATATTGAAAAATTCTATGAATCAATTAAGGGCTTAAGATATCACAAGCTTTGATTGTTTTAGAAAAATTCTCTGTTAAGGTTAATAAATAATCTGTGAAGAAATACTCATTGAAATAAACTTCAAAAAATAAATCTAAAAAGAATCAAAATCCATAATGCTTTGATCCTCGTATTGATAGTATCATTGATTCAGGTCCTAAATTGATTGTTTTTATATTTCAAGTCCATCATTGAAAACAAATCCTTATCAAAGAGAGAGGAGTTAATTTATTTAAACTCTATAATGACTTGGGTTCATCTTAAAAGGTATGATGAGTAGCTTAGGGCCTTCTAAATAAGTTTATATTTTATATTTTTTCTGTTTTTGCACCAATGAATCGATTGGGGACAGTGATATCCTAAAAGATAACATACTATGGGGAGTAGCTTAATAAGTTTGTTTATCTTTGTATTAGTGAAACCTAGTTGTAAAGACATTTTGTGAGCTTCTTAGTAACCGATAACTTTTAATAACTGAAAAGATCTTAAAAGAAAATGGTTGTAACTTTTTTATAAAAGTAAAGGGTTTTGATTGAGTTATGTTTGGTATAACAACCTGTTATGACAAAATAGCTATTAAAAATTCTTGTCTCAAACATACACCTAAGATCTTTTAAGCTTTTTAAATAGTACAAAAGCTACAAGTAACATACCCGTATAATCATAAAAAGTAACATACATGCTCACTCAGACCAAGAACTCAAGAGTTAGGATTCACTCAACACGACAAATGATCATTGACTTTGAACTGAGTGTAGACTGTAGAGCAAAATAATGGTCACATTGACACTAAAATCATGTTTAGAAACTGTAAAGTAGGGCACCATTTTATATTTTTATGTGTTGTCCCTGAAAGTAAATTTGGGGAAAAGCAAACTCACCAAATCATTGCTGCATTTGGAGACAATTTAAACAATTTGTGCAACTGTAAATACGATTATTTTTATTTGGACGTTGTTGCTTAAATCCCTGATTATAAGAAAGGCAAGAGTATCCCGAAGAAAGAAAAGGAGAAAGGAAAATTTTGCTTGCAAAGAGAAAAGAAAATACACACATACAGTCAACATGGAGTCGGGAGAGGAAGAGAGGCCTTCTTCGCGGGCGAGAGAAAGAGCGAGGTCTCGCACTCTGAATGCATGTGCAGCATCATGAGATGCATCGTTCGACTTCATGGCTCTCTGCACCAGTTCCTCCGCCTTCTGGATGACATCTTTCTGCACCATCTTCCCGTCCCAGACGAATTCTGACTAACAGCCTGGATTGAGTTTTGAAGGGTTAGTAACACCAGAGAAAAATCAAGAGGTATTAAGAAGTGTTAGTAAGGGTTAGAAAGTGTTAATAATAACCTTTCCAACATCTCAATTGGGACAATTTTTTCCCTTCTCATTTACCCGAAAAACATAAAATGCTTCGACATTTCACTTCGAATATCTTTCTCACGGGTCTGATGGTCTGCTTTTTTCATCTTTTCTCTTTACTCGTTTCTTTTGCCTCAAAGTAAAATTATTAACACTTCCATTATTAACACTTCATTCATTTGACTCTCCCAAACAAAGTAAAATTATGTCTAACACTTACACTTCCCTTCCCTTCCGGGCCCTTACTAACACTTACTAACACTTCCATTACTAACACTTCCAAACACTCCATCCAAACAGGCCCTAAAGTAAATGGATTTAAGAGTTTTAGGGGAAGAAGAAGAATAGAAGATAGATCACAGCGCAGCTTACCTTTTGAGAAATATTGAGAAGCCGACAATAAGTGTCAAGAGGGGTTAGTAAAGGAAGTGTTTAGGAGTGTTGGAAACAACACCTGTTTGGAAGTGAAATTTAAAAAAAATAAGGGTGTTAGTAAGTGTTAGGAAGTGTTAAGAAGTTGTCGAAATAAAAAGGGAAAAGAGGCAAATAAGTCCTTATTTAGAAGGTTCTGTCCGGTTGTCGCCATTTGGGTTGGTTCTCGGTGGAATTTTTTGATGAAATTTTTTGAGCATCTTATTCATTAAGTCTAGTTTACTCATACCAAATTTCAGCTAACAATTCAATCGGGAAGTCATTCAAATGAATTCTTGAAGATAATTGTGTTTTTAAATGTGCAGTTATCTTCAAGAATTCATTTGAATGTCTTCCCGATTGAAGTTTCATAAAACAATTCCACCGGGAACCACCTCAAATGGCGATAGCCAGACAAAGCCTCCTAAATAAGGCCTTATTTGACCTTTTTTGTTTAGTAATGACCTTATTTGTCCCTTTTCTCAAATAAAAATGTAGAAGTTGGGTCTTCTTCCCTAGGTTCCTAGGGTTGGGCCGCCTTTTCCTGTCTTGATTTGATCGAACGTGTGTTTCTCTTTCATTGATTCCCTATTGTTTTCGAAAGCATGGCGTCTGGACTGGAAGTCCATGATTTTAAAAGTTTAGGTGTATTCAATGTGGACTTTTCAAAGTCTACAAAAGTCTAGGTGTATTCAATACAGACTTTTAAAAGTCTGTATTGAATTCTCGTGGACTTTTAACTCATTTTTACTACAAAAATTCTCTGCAATTGTCTCTTCTCCTCACCAAAGATTTCTGTGGACTTTTCTTATATCGGTTCTTTATCCCGTCCCACCCCGTCCCTCCCCTCCCCTAGCCTCCCCCTAGGGATGGACTGGGCCCGGTCCGGTTCCGGTTTCTGGTCAGAATTTTTTGGGTAAGGCCCAGGACCGGCCCGAGAGTGACTGGTACCGGGCCGGTTTCGGGTCGGGCCTGTTTCGGGCCGGGCCTGTTCATTTGGGGGGGGGGGGTCTTATATACTCTAACCCCCACCCCCCGACCCCCCAAACCCCTCCAAAACACCCAGCCCATCCCACTTACCATAGGCCCAAACCCAAAAAACAAAAAAAGGCCCGGACCTGGCCTGGTCCCCAAATATGCAGTCCCGGAACTGCCCCAATTAACCCCTCGGGTCGGGCCTAGGCCCGGTACCCATCCATGGGCCCGGGCTAGTGCCAGTGCCGCACAGTGGCGGGCCAGTCTGGGTCCCGGGCCGGTCAGACCAACTTCGGGCCAAGCGTACTCCCCCATCCCCCAACTCTCCTCTTCTTTAGCCAAGCCACCCCTTCCCCTTCGATCTGTCTTCTTCTTCTTCTTCTTCTTCAGCTTGCCAGCCTCACCCCACCCCCCTCGATTCATTAATCCCATATCGATTCAATTCTAGAAGTTTTTAGAAGAACCGATATAAGAATCGATAGTATTACATCAATGCAATTCTGATATGTCAGTTAACCATTAAGAAAATAAATATTTTAACTATCACTTTCTTTCATCGTTAAATCGCTTGACATATAAAAATATATTTTCAAATGAATAAATATATAACCATAAATACATATACAAGTTTTTAAAAGATAGAAATTAAAAGAAAACAATCATTAAGTAGAAAAGCTTGATTGCATCTATGTTTGTACCACATGTAGTAACGAGTGTAACACTTGTGTAACAATTAATGTTCTTAATCATTAATAAAATGGCCAAAATTCTTGAGCATTCTTGAAACTTTGACTTTTTTTAATAAAAATAAATTTGAATTCTTATGCTTCATTTATTTTTGTAGAACTTTGTGTTGCTCTATGAATTAGATTTGTTTCATTTATTTATCTATTTTTATTTATTAATCGATATAAATATATATATATATATATATATATATATATATATATTTCTTATCATACTCCATATTATATAGAGGAAATCACTCACGGTAGGACCAAAACATAGCATTATTCTCAAAGTATGATTATATGTTTGATTTTTCTTAAATAGGAATAAATATTACATATTCACCCCTAATTTAATTAATTAATTAATATAATTAATTGTCCCTAGTTCCCTTTCATAACCAAAGTCATTTTGTTGGTGGCGGGTCCGTCCGATGATGACTGCGGGGAACTCCGGTGATGGAGGCGGACAGGTCGCAAGCATATCGGTAGCGACAATCTAGGTGAGAATTTTGGCGACCAGCAGTGGCGGTCTGCATTTAAAAGTTTATGGACTTTTTGAAAGTCAATAAACTTATTCATGGATTTAAAAGTCCATAGAATTCATTTATAAAAAAGTCTATGGATTTAAAAGTCCATTGACTTTTTTAAAAGTTCATGGATTAAAAAAGTCCACAACAATCCATATTGAATACACCCCCTTTAGTGGGTTTTGTAAACTAATCCAATCGAGTCGAATAGTGGGATTTTGTATTTGTATTTGTCTCATTTTTTCAAATCCGAATTCAAATATGAAACGAATATTAATTTTGATTTGTATTTGTATTTGTTTAACAATACGAACAGTTAACGAATCATATACGAATATCGAATCGATTTGAGCATAGGTTAAATATTAGTCAAATATCACTTTAAAATAACTATTCTTATATTTTTTGTGTTGTAAATGCATGCTATAACTTTTTTTTATCATAAAAGAGCGGCTGTTATATTAAAATCAAGAAACATACAAATGTATGCTATAACTTAATATGTGTTCTTAGAATTTAAATTTAATTGATCAATGCAATTTTAGATTGTGCACAATATAAATGTGAATCAATTTTATGATTAATAAATGTAAATCTATTTCGATCCTTTTTGAAATAAACACTAACACACACATATTAGAAATTATACTTATAATGTGTGAAATAAGTTGATAATTGTATATATCAAAGTCAAACGACTCTAATTTTATTCTTCCAATTGTTAATTCGTATCTTGCTTAAACCAATAAAAAGAGCTGAGGTTAGAGTGAAAGCTGCCACGAGAAAACCAAAATAACTAGTTATAGTAAGCATTACCAAATAGAGGTAGCACATTCATGGAGTCCAGGGAGGACAAGACCAAGACCATTCAAATATAGGAGTGGTCCAATTGAATACATAGTTATGTGTATTGTATTTGAAAGATATTTGAACCAAAAATTTAATTTGCATTTGTATTTATATTCCGATTTACTACTAATATGGGCTTGGAATCTGTATGTATAATGCATATATGGCTACACTTTGAGGGTATTGCCATCTTTTAAAAGTTATTATAGTGTTATTACTATTATTATTATTAATATTATTTTTATTATTATATTATTATTAATATTACCACTATTATTAATCAAATATATTGGATTAATAATCGAATCGAATATACTGATATTCATATTTGTATTTGATAACAACTCGAATCAAATTTAATATTCTTATTTGTATTTGTATTTAAATTTTCCGAATTCGAATCGTCTTATACGAATTCGAATAGCGAATCGAGCACAAATAAGAGTATTCCCTAAATAGGAGTAAAAACTTTTTGTAATTGCGAATCGTCTTACAACCCCCTACTTGTACTCCCTACTCAACTTAGAGGAGCTACGGAGGGGCATGAGGGGGCAAGCGCCTCATTTAGGACAATTTTTTTTAAGAGAGAATTCCCTAAATAGGAGTAAAAACTTATTGAAATTCCAAAATAGGAGTATCATGTTTTATTTTCCCTGAATAGAGTAAATTTCTGTCAAGTTTGGCATTACAAGGCTTTTAACATGGCATTTTTTCCCAAACTTGGCGGATTACTCCTATTCAGGGAATATAAAACATGATACTCCTGTTTTGGAATTTCAAAATGTTTTTACTCCTATTTAGGGCAATTTCTGTTTTTAGTACTACTACTTATAATATATATAATGTCCCTCCTTTTTTCAAGAATAAATACCAATTAAAAGTTATCTAATTATTAGTATGTGACATTAGTTCAGAAGAATTTTCTTTCTCTAGGGTTAGCGGCTGCTAACCCTTAGCATCGGATTGTCCACCTTCGCCTTTACGAGGAGCGCATTTATTGGTTAGAGGGGTGGTGGGTTGCAGGGTTGACGAGGGGTGAGTTTGGAGTGGGTGTTAGGGCGGCGGTCTAGGGTTTTTAAGCAGGGGTCTTGGGCAGGCAGGATTAAGGTAGAGAGTCGCCGGCTGTAAATTTTCCGGCGAAAAGTTCCTGTTCATGGAGAGTGTTGTAGACCGTTATAAGCATATGGCAATCGGGGATGACGAGGCAGAGATAAACCTTGACGACAGGGAGCTTGAAGATGTTCCGGCAGAGGAGGCGGCATCGGGGTTTCCTCGTGATCGGGCAGGTTCTGACAGATCGCAAAGTCCGGTTCTCGGAGCTGAAAGAGCAGATGCTTGCGCTATGGAGGCCAGGAAAAGGTATGTCAGTTAGAGAAATTGGGGAAAAGAGGTATCTTTTTTCCTTTAACCATCATTTTGACATGAAGCGTGTTCTGGAAGGAGGCCCTAGGCAGTATGAACGTATAG